GCCCGGTCAGCTGTGCGAGCCTCCTGCAGGCAGCGAGCTCAGATCCAAACAGCGTGTGTCAGCAAAGCAATGGAAACACCAAGCTGAACATGCTAAGCCAAAAAATTCCAAAAAAAACCCACCCAGAAATTTATTTCCACCCTAGATGTGCAAAAGTGTTGTGTTTTTCATAGCAAATAAAACCCATGAAGACCTTAATCTACATGACTGAAAAGCATCAACAGACTGAACCTTGTGAGGAGGGGCTTAGTGTTTGACAGAGAAATACAGGTGAATCAGTGTGTGCCTTAAAAAATCTACAGTCGCCTTTTTCAGTTACTGCATATAGTTTCTTCATTCATCAGATGTGTAAGGGAAGCACCATTAAGGTCTCAGTTTTCTTCATGAATTGATGTTCTTAGTCCTTAATGCATTGACTGTTCACAGTTTCTACAAGATGAATTTACAGTCTGAGGTCCTATAAAACCCATCATACCGTTGTTTAATCCACAGCTTTAATCTGTTACTGTTAACTCACTTCCCACATAGAGACAACCTACTTAGTTACCACTTGGACAACATACCAGCTCATAAAGCTACCCAAAGCTGGTAACATTACACAAAGGAGAATGCGGACTGGAAAACAGCACTTCCTTCTCTAAACAGTGGTGTGATTTAATGGGCAACTGCAATAACACTCATCTTTGTTGCTCCACTATTGTTTGTACCACTCTAAATGGTAGCACAGAATAGGGCACCTTTAACTTCTCAGCGTGTAGATCAAACCTCCACAGTTCAGAATGTTGACTGTGGCTATGGCTGTTCTTGCAAAAGCCCCTTGTGTTGACACACAAAGTAATGACAGAATTATTAAACAGATCCATTAAACAGAGGACTATTAAGTTGCCCAACCCTCTGAGCAATCAACTTGTCACAGCCTCCAAGCAGCTACACTGGATATATTTGGGGTTATGCCTAGGTATGAAATGTTGCAGCATTTAGGTCCAGACCAATGAAGCAAAATGTTCTACTTAAGTTTTCCACACTTGACTTGGATTTACTGGGCCACTCAGGACTCATTAAAGTAAACATACTCCTCAGTCAAGGAGTTTCAGATCAGGAGGTTTCCATTTCAGTCCCATTTCATCAGGGTCCTTCAAGCATGTGAGTTACTGGATTGAGGCATTGGCAAAAGGCACCTGCAGACACTGTGCTCCATGTCTGTGGGAAGGCACAGGCTCAAAGGTGTGTCCAGTTCTCAGGTTCTTTGTCACAGATTGAGTCACTCGGGTTTTCCCCACATGTGGCTTCACATTTTCCGTTATGTTACATAGGACAGCTCAGCACGTGAAGGAGAGTGGAAAGTGCTCTGCTTGGTTCCAGCACTGTGGGCATGCAGTGCAGGGGAGGGAGTGGGACTCAGGAAACCATCTACCACCACATACTTGACACTGCATCGCAGCCATGTGGCAACACTCCCTCAGGATCCTGCATCACAGCATCAGCACTGTGTGACCTCTCATAAATTAGGAAGGTCAAGCTTAAGAGTAAGGTGAGAAGTGCATGAAAGCTCAGCCAACATTTGCACTGGGCTGCAATGTTATCCTCAAACACACTGACAGTGATTTATAGCACTAGCATTTTTCTGCCTAATGAAAAGACGACATTTTGCTCTCAGTAAGACTAATCTATACTGAATGTTAATTACCCTGACTTCAGTGATGCCCAGACACAATTTCCTGTAATGTCTCTACCTCTTACTGATGATGGGGGAGTACTGTTATATAAGCATTGCATCACAGCCGTGGGCTGCATGTATGTGAGCTGGAGGAACACAGGGCAAAGGCAATGTGGGCTGAAAGGAGATTCTTATTTACAGAAGTTATAATCAATATCTGTCCTGGAAGATAAGTAGGCGGGAATAGAAAAACAGTTGTATCAGATGCTGGAAGGAGTTGCATTTCTAAGTGAAAATATTTTTTTAAAACCATAGAAGCACATTTTGTGTTTGTGAGACACTAACCCTCAGAGACTGCCAAGGTTACTCAAAGACTGAGCCAACAGCCATGTAAGCAGGACCTGCACTGAGATAATCTAGCATACTGCAACTTCTCCAAATCTGGTTCTCATTGATTGTCAGCATTCTTTATTTGTTTACACCAGTTTTTCCACTTTTAACTCATTCTCTGGTTATCATTCCTCACCTCTGGACTCCGAACACCAACCCCTCAAGACGTGGGTTTTTCCTTGGTATTTACATTCCATTTCTGCTTGTTTCTTTCCCAGTGGTCACACTGTTTGTACATCAGGCTCTTGGTCCATCATTGCAAGAAAACTGTCTGAAGATTGAAGACACTCCAGCACAAGGTTTCAGCATTCCCAGAATTGTGTATGACAATTATAAATCGTGAGCAATATATTTCAGCTGTGCTTATCCACATCTGGCCACTTTGTGTCTTCTGGCAGGCAAATTAAGTATAATCCTAATTGTACACATGTGTTATCACCCTCTGTCCCTGATCCTCGTAAGACAAGGAATCTGTTACAGCTCCTAATTGAAATGCCGGGATTTTCTAGACCTTGCTGTAGGACAAATGTAATGCATGCCTGAAAGAACAAACAGCACTATAGCAACAGCGCTGATCTTATCACTGATATTTTAATGTTGTCCTTCTTGCTAAAATCTGTGTGGTTTCTGTAGGGATTCCTCAACTTCAAAATACGGTCCCTACCTTCCTGTCCTTCTCATCAGCCCCATGCTAGGCTAAACAAGTAAGGAATGCTCCCAAACCCAAGCCTTTCACTGGGACATCTATAGGTAAGCTAGCTGTAGGTTAAAGCTTCCAAGGATATTTATTTATTTATGCATGAACTCATGTGTCACATTCTTGCACTTTATGGTGCACTCACAGGAATGTTTATAAAACTGCAGCACAGAGGCAAAACAAGGAGATTGTGCTCGAGAGAGGAGGAAAAGGAGAAACAGGGAAGGGTACTGGATAGATAATGAGCACTCATTTCTGCAAAGGTTTTTTTCCAACCAGGTTACAAGCGAAGAAAATCATAGAATCATAGAATCTTCTGAGTTGGAAGGGGCCCACAAGCATCACTGAAGTCCAACTCCTGTGTCTGCACAGGACCATCCCAAGAATCACACCATGTGCCTGAGAGTGTTGTCCAAACAACTCTTGAACTCTGTCAGGCTTGATGCTGTGACCACGTCCCTGGGAAGCCTGTGCTCAACCACCTTCTGGATGAAGAACCTAATTCTAGTATCTAACCTAAAACTACCCTGATACAGCTTCATGCCATTCCCTCAGGTTCTGTCACTTTTTACCAGAGTGAAAGAGATCAGTACGTGCCCACTCAATTCCCCTCATAAGGAAGCTGTAGACTGCTATGAGGTCATCCCTCAAGTCTCCTTGTCTCCAGGCTGAACAAGCCAAGTGACCTCAGGTGCTTTTCATATGGGTTCCCCTCTAGGCCCTTTACCATTATGTCAGTAAATCACCAGCATTACAGTAAATGCCAAAGGCTCCCGAGTCTAGAGGGAGAAGCATCCAAGTCAGCAGTCTGATTTGTAATCCTTCAGTTACCCTGCTTTTATGTTGTGACTTACGTCCTAAAACTCACTGGATGGCTGGACACAAAGAGTGGTGGTGAGCAGTTATATCCAGCTGACAGCTGGTCACAAGGTGTTCCCCAGGGCCCAGTACTACACCAGTTCTGTTTAATGTCTTTATCAATGACCTGGATAAGGCGATTGAGTGACCCCTCAGCAAGTTTGAAGTCAACACCAAATGGAGTGGGAGTGTTGATCTGATGGAAGGTAGGAAGGCTCTGCAGAGGGATCTGGACAGGCTGGATAGAAGGGCTGAAGCCAATTGTATGAGGTTCAATAAGGCCAAGTGCTGGGTCTTATATTTGGATCACAACCCCATGTGGTGCTACACGCTGGGGGCAGAGTGGCTGGGAAGCTGCCTAATGGAAAAGGAGCTGGGGGTGCTGGTCAACAGCCAGAGGGTTCTGGACAGGCTGGATAGAGGGGCTGAAGCCAATTGTATGAGGTTCAATAAGGCCAAGTGCTGGGTCTTATATTTGGATCACAACCCCATGTGGTGCTACACGCTGGGGGCAGAGTGGCTGGGAAGCTGCCTAATGGAAAAGGAGCTGGGGGTGCTGGTCAACAGCAGCTAAACATGAGCCAGTAGTGTGCCCATGTGGCCAAGAAGGCTAATGGCATCCTGCTCTGTATCAGCAAGAGTGTGGCCAGCTGTGATTGTCCTCCTGTACTTGGCACTCGTGAGGCCACACACCTCAAATCCTGTGTTCAGTTTTGAGCCCCTCACTACAAGACAGACATTGAGGTGCTGGGGTTCATCCAGAGAAGGATAACTGAGCTGTTGAAGGGGCTGGTGCACAAATCTTATGATAAGCAGCTGAGGGAGCTGTGGTTGGTTAGCCTGGAGAAAAGGAGGCTCAGGAGGGACCTTACCACTCTCTATAGTCACCTGAGAGGAGCCTGTAGTGAGGTGTGGATTAGTCTCTTCTCCCAGGCGGGTTTAGTTTAGTAGTGGATTTGGCAGTGCTGAGTTAATGGTTGGACTTCATCTTACAGGTCTTTCCCAACCTAAATGATTCTGTGATTCTATTTTAGTTCTTCTACCTGGAGTCAAAATGTACCTATGAAAAGTCAGGTAGACACAGTCAGTCAGTCCTAAATGCAGTAATTCATTCACAGAGTGGGACCCCAAGCATGGAATAGCTCACACCAAACCTGGGGCAGTGCTGAGTTAATGGTTGGACTTCATCTTACAGGTCTTTCCCAACCTAAATGATTCTGTGATTCTATTTTAGTTCTTCTACCTGGAGTCAAAATGTACCTATGAAAAGTCAGGTAGACACAGTCAGTCAGTCCTAAATGCAGTAATTCATTCACAGAGTGGGACCCCAAGCATGGAATAGCTCACACCAAACCTGGAAATATGTTGTGCTGTGTGTCTAGCACAGCTCCTCTTTACCTGTAGTTACAGGTACCTCTTTTTCCATCACTGAAAACTCAATGTGAAGTATGCCAATATTACCTAGTTTAAGCCTCTCTCTTGCAATTTCCCACTTGCTGGCATCATAAGGCAGACGTTCACACTGCTCATCTAAGGGGACTTCATCAGGATCCATTATGATTGACAGGTAATGGTTTGTCTTCGTTTCAGAGGAATAAGGCTAGAAAACAAAGAATATTGCAAAATGAAAATGAGGATAAGGGTATGTGTCAGCATCTTCTTGTTTGGCTCAAAGGCCCCAAGTTAATTCTATTCACAGGGCTGTGTTTCACAGCACAATAGATGGTTTGGTTAAGCTCCGGTTGGCTTTTCTATTTATTGCAAGACTTTTTATAAAAATGAAACTTCTTCCTCTAGCTTTCTTCCTATGTGACATACCAGTTTCTTCAATGAAATCCATGTGGATCTGTATTGACATATGGTGTTAGGAAACAGGCCCTCTGCACAGTCAAGAGAAATATTTTCGGCAAGTGACTAAACATTAATGATAAAAATAACTTTCCTTCATGATTGTGCAAAGCAAGAAGTGTCCATATGCAACAGATGGAGTTCAATTGCAAGTGTTTATTTTTTCCATACACCCGGCAAACATACGTCATATGTGGTTAGAAGTTGTGCAAGACTAGTTGTCAGAAGATGAGACATCATACGTGCATGAAACTCCTTACAAATTTTCAGCATTTTTTTATTTCTCTGGTATAATTTCTGAAAAATTGACTCAAATTATTTGAATTTAGAGGAATTTGTAAACAGCCAGACTCAAACACATAGTATAAAACATACAATTTCAAGTTAATTTGACAGTTCAGTTTCTGTTGAGCAAATGGATTATCCACTTCACATGAGAAATGTCAGGAAAGATGAACCTGATCTCAAAGTTTTCTGCAGTCCATCCATTTTGAAACATATTTTCCTTCAAAGAGCGCCTAGATTGCCATTTCAATCCACTAGACTTATTCTTGACACAGGAGTATTTATATTTCTATAGAAAGGTCTAGTGTTTGCCATAATTTCCTGGCTATTAGTTGGAATTTATGGAAAATCTGCTGAACTGAACCTAAATTTGCTGCTTTTCCTAAACTGATGGAAACAGCACATGGGTACAGACATAAACACACAGATATATCCACATATTCTTTTGGGTTTATTGCTTTAACTGCCTCCTGTGACTTTCAATTTTCCTTCTCTACAATTTGGCAATATGTCTCTAATACATGCATTTCCAGATATTTGTTTGAGAAGGATGTTACTAGCTGTGCATGCCTTGATTACAAACACAACTAGACTGAAATGACAGTAGCTAATAGCTGCTGGTTAGTTGCTTTTCACCATCCCAAAGAACCAGAAATCTAGTCCCAAAATGGATTGCACTGACATTTGGTGAAAAGTCAAGAGGCATAAAGGCTCCAAACCATCCACTGACCCTGGACAGAACACGGATAAGTGTGATACGGGTAGAAACAGAAATATGTGTGGTGCTCAAAAAATTACATTTCTTGGTAGAGATGTGTGTACCAGACTGCTCCTATCAGTCATGTTAGAGCTTTTAAGTTGCCCAATCCCAGAAAAAGCAACAGGGCTGTGCAAAAGTTCATACAGCTTCCTATAGTTCTTTCTTCAGATGCACTGAATACTAAATTTTGGGCACAATTAGAGATTTGAAGCAACATTTTGAATGATGAAGAATTGTTAAGGATATCACCTGTCCCTGTATACATAACAGACAGGCTTTAAGGAAATGCTCTCAGAGAGCATATTTATTTTTTCTGTTTTGAAAACATAATTTGTATAGAAAATTTAATTTAGAGCTAATTTCAGACATAAATCCTTGAGAGTAAGGGCTTATAATAGAAACACAGAGAAGACCATAATCGTAGACCAACATAGCTCGATAGGCTCATCTGGAAAGGAGCCTTCACATGTCATCTAGTTAAAGTCCCTTGTTCTACAGCAATGATGATTATTTTTATCGTATTTTAACAATCTAACAAGTTTTGGTCTCATAAAACCAAAAAAATAATTTGCAACCCTTTGCTACATTTAAAACTTACATTTTTCAAAGAGTTTGCGATCATGTTATAAATTCCTCCATCACTACTGGTGAGCATTCAGTACTGGTCCCACTTGCCTTGTAATTTCTCTTACAGCTATGAAGCTTCTCCACAGCTTCAGCTGATCTTTAATTTTCTTTCCCCCTAAACTCCCATGCATTTCTCCTTGCTAAAGTTTGTGGCAGTAGGAATGCAGCTAGAGTGACCGCTGCCATACCACCCTGGTTTGGAGGTCCAGTTCTCCTTTCCCATCAATCAGTAGAAGTTCTCAGTATAAAACCTAAGATATAGGCAGGCCTTAATGCAGGCTGCAGTCAAGCTTTAGCAATCGTCACAGAGCTCAGCTAACTGGGACATGCTCAACCATGGCAGCTGTGAGACAATCCCCATGGTGCTGTGCTGTGGTACTTAGTGGGCTGGGCAAAGCAGGGCAGCAGAGGCTCAGCACCACAGTGGTGTGGGAGTGGGGAGAGGAGGGCATGCAGCCACTTCTCATGTCTTGCAGTGCACCCCATCACCCCAATACTGCCCTTTCCCCAAATCCATCTGCTCCCCCAAGTAACCCTGAGATCTTTCTGCATTACTGAGGAATTGTATTTTCTGCTTATGAAAGCTGCTGTGGTTTACCCTGCACACACCACGCAACGCAGACATAGTGCTGTCAGCAAAAAGGGGCTTTAAATCATCACAGTCAGCCTTGGACAAAAAGGAGGGGCAGTTGGAGGGCCAGTTAACATTATCATGCTGATACAGGGCCATCTGCTCTAGAGGCTGCACTGCCAAAACTGCTTCAGCAAAATATCACTTTGGAAGTGATGTAATTATACCAGACACTGTGCAAAACAGACCCCAGCACACTCTGTGAAGATCTGTCATTCCCACTCACTCAGATCTTCAAAGACATTAAGGTGCCAAACCCCCACAGATTTTATAAGGGAATGGGGATGCCTTTCATGGGAGCCAGGCACCCAAATTCCCATGAGCCTCAGAGCCTTGTCTGCACCCAGTTTTTTTCTTCCTGACTTACTCATACTCAGCCTTGCAAGTCATGGTTCCCCAGCACCCATCAGCAGCCCGGTGACTGTATCAGGAACAAAGGTGAGCCTTATCACAGAATCACAGAATATTCTGAGTTGGAAGAGACCAGCTAGGATCATTAAAGTCCTTCTGGCCTTGCACAGGACAGGCCCAAGAATCACACCAAATGCCTGACAGCATTGTCCAAATGCTCCTTGAACTCTTTCAGGCTTGGTGCTGTGAAAGTGATGGTGATCCAGTAAGGGAAACAGATTGGTTTTTTGGTAGACTCAGCAATCCCAGTGGCCTGGGAAAGATTTTCTAACACAAGCAAAGGGCTGCAAAGAGAGAAAGGTGCCATCAGGAGATCCCTGTCTGTTCTTACCCTCTTCAGCTTGCGAATGAAGAGGGTCAACAGGAGCCAGAACAGTGTTGCAGCCACACAGGTACAGGTCAGGGTTATCAGCTCCAGGTTTGACCTCTCCGGTATGCCTGGGAAAATCAAGTGGCAAACATTTTAGAAAATGACCTGTAAGCAAGGGCACTTTATGTTTCTTTGCCAGTAAAACAAAATAGCAGGAAGGACCAGCTTCTTTTCAATGGGGTATTAATCTCTGTTTGGACTGGCTCATAGAGCCTAAAAAAAAAAAGGTCTCCCCCAGCCTCAGGAGCAGACAGGGCTGCATGAAGGGAATGGCTCTGCTGGGCCTTTCCAAGGGGCAGTGCTGTGGTATGACAGCTGCTGATAATGTGCAGGAGAAGCTCCAGGGAGGACTTGTGCTGCTGTAGGCACAGGCGAATCCAAGTGTGACCCAGGGCATGCTGCAGTGCTGCTGCTTGGGGTTTGCTATTCAGGACATGATGCCTTTCCTCTGACACTGGTCAGTGAGCTCTTCCCTGCTGATGGCTGAGTCCTGCAGCCTACACCTCCATCCCAGCCACGCTGGAAACCCACCAACCTTCACCAAAATCCTCAGTGGGGGAGAGCTGGGGGTTCCCTTTGGAGGCCTGTGGTGCTGCCAGAAGGAGTTCATGAGCTCTTCTTCCCATGGCCTTGATAGATCTGATCTGGCATCTGTGAGTTCAGTTCATCCAAAGCATGACACAGGGGTCCTGAGCCCTATTCCCACTGGGCAGAAACCCAGGGTGTATGGCCTAGTACTCCCTTCAACCCACTGGTCCTCCCACAGGCTCTGTGCCCTCGGGTCTTCTGCTGGTCACAGCAGCAGCACAGGGCCAGGCTCCCTGAAGGGACACAGGACCTTCTCCTTTCCCAGAAGCACCCCACAGAACCCAGAAATTAGGGAGCTGGGAGAGCTCTCCAAACTAGGGAACAGATTAAGGACAGAAAAGGAAAAACAAAAACAACTGAAAATGGAGCAGCAAGAGAGCATGAACATTAGAAAACTGGAGAGTATTAGAGCCCACTGACAGATCTTAAAAAAAGCCCCAAAATAAAATTCACTTCAGACTGCTATTTAGGGATTTGTAAAATAGTTTCAGAGAAGTCTGTTTTGCAAATCCTGTGATAGTGTCAAAATCTCACACTTCCCACAATATGTTTTCCATCTGATTGGTAGCAAATGCAAAAAGAACCCTGATGCTCTGCCTTTTATTCTGATACACCCTCTAGAGAGGGAAAATGAGAGGACGAGGAGGAGTAATTCTGAACATGATTTCACAGTAGTTTTGTCAACTGCACTTGCAGAGTTTCAGAGCCTGGCAGCTCAGTGTTACTCCTGACACATGAAAAAGAGATGATTAATGTCTCACTGGTGAGTTTACTGGGTAATCCAGAGGGATGTGCTGCCTGGTTTTAGGCAACGCTGCAGAGCTTTGTTCAGAGGTTGTATTGCTTCCTGTAGCTGCAGCTTAATTAGCATAATATCTGCCCTCCCTAAAGATGATAATCAGCTTTGCATTCATGCCCCATATCTAAGATCCCTCTGGCATGTCCATTCTGGAGCTTTGAGAATAATCAAGGAAAAATATGACTTCAACTACAAATGGAGATATAAAGTATCCATTCTCCAAAATACCTAGAGTGTTATTTTTTTACAAGTGTTTTTTAAGTACTTCACTTAGATATGGAACGTAGTGATGGCATAATACAGCCTAATGCAGCTTGCCTATTCTCTGACATCAGCATTTCCTTTTACATACGGATACTCTCCTCTTGCTTCTGAGCAGCAGCACCTGCACAGATGGTGAGTAATAGTTTCTGACATTTCTTCAGCAGAGCCTGGAGAGGCTGAAGGTTCATTTGTTGCCTCTGCTTCATATGGCAGGACACAGAAAACCCATGAGGTATGGTACAGCCAGTCCTGGGGTGGAAGACAGCAAGTCTCTAAGCACTACAGTATGTTGTCCAGGAGTTACGTGCTGTCTTTGAAATGTTTGAGCAAATCTAGGCAACCAGAAAGCATTTCTCTGAGCTGGGATTGGGCTGGGTTATCAAATGCCAGATTCCTAGTCTTGCTAAAAGCCTTGAAGTCAGAGCTGCCAGAGTGTCTCTCAGCTGGACAGAAAAAGGTTTGATTTTAGGCAGAACAGGCAAAAACATTCAGAAAAGGCCCTAGGATTAGCAGAGTCTGGTGAGGCTGCAAGCACAACTAAATCCCTCTTTCTGCCTGGTAGCACAAGATTTCTAGCTTCCCCTTCCCCTCCCAGACCTTTACTCACCAGACACCTCACTAGACAAAGACTTTCCCCTGTGTGAAGCTCTGTCCCATCTGCCAGACTCACTGTTGCAAGCAGCAGTCCCCTTCCTGCCCAGAGCCCCTCCAAAAGTCCCCCCCTACCATCCCATGTCTCTGTAGCACTGCAAAGGGGTGAGGAGGGGGCAAGTGAAGTGCCACCAGCAGCAGCTTCTCTCTCTCAGTAGTGACAAGAGCCACCAGAACAGTGCAGGCATGCCAGGATGAAAGCCTGGATTAATGTGCTGATCCTTCCAGCTAGAAACTCAAGCCTTGGGTTGGCATAGGCTTTCTCAGTAGGAACTCAGCATTAAACACCTAAACACTGAAGTGCAGCTCAGGTATCTATCAGGGGAAAAGCAATACCTGGGGCAACGACACTGCTGCAGCCAAAGCATCCCTCACCCCACCCCAGTGGCATCTACCCTGCTTAATCCATGTGATCCCACGATCCTGTGGGTGCAGTGCTGCACTGGGATGGGTGTTCAGAGATGCTGAGGAATTTCTGTCCTTGGAGGTTGTCATAACCTAGCCAGACAAAGCAATCACTGACTGTTTACACTGATGTACTGTTGGTGATGACCCTAGTTTGAACTGAGGTTGAACTAGAGACTGCCAGGACTCCCTTCCAACCCTCTTTGGTGTATGTCTGAGGTAACAGGAGTCTTAAGTGTTCCCTGATGTTAACTTTTTCTCTTACGGACGTAAGACATAACCCAGGATGAACTTTGTTTAGTAGCTGAGAGAATTTCAGTTAAGCTTCATGGAGAAGTTCCTGATGGCTTCAGAGTGACCCAAAATGCAAAACAACTTTTTGAGACACAAAATCAGAAAGGTTAGGTAGGTAGGTAGGTAGGTAGGTAGGTAGGTAGGTAGGTAGGTAGATAGATAGATAGATGAATGATAGGCAGAAAGTTATTTTTAAAAAGTTATTTAAATAAAATTTATTTTAAAAGCAAATATCATTTGTCAGACACTATAGTGTCAGAATAGTTCAATGAGTACTTAATAAATGCGATGCTTTCCTTTCCATCAGCAGGGTCACATTGGGATATTGAACATCAGCTTTAAGACAGAACACATTGCTAAATTCTTCTCAGTGGAAGTAGTAGGGCAAGAATTTCATAGCAAGTCCTCCACTCTACGAGCAGGGTGACCCCCAAAAGAAAGCTGCCTAAGAGCCTGTGTTCCCCATGTGCCCAGCAGCATGTGTCCCAGGCTTTTAGGGATACAGTCCCCTCCACTTGCTGGGTGCTCTGCCACCCATTTGCTGTTTCTGTTCCATCCTTACAGATTTACTGCCTCTTCAGTGCTTCAGCCTAGGGCAAGTGGAGAGCTTACTCTGACAGGCCCACAAACAGAGCCCCTCTGCTCCTCAGACAGCCCAGCAAGCCCTGCTTCCAAACCAAACACAGGCCGCGATTATTTAAAGACATCCCTTTGATTCCACCATCCATTCATCCCTCTCGGATACAAAAATAACACATTGTTTTATCTGTGAGTATAATAATGTTTTCTCAGAGGAAATAAAGAGAGCAGACAGTTTCCTTCCTGACTCATTCACAAACTACTCTTCCAATCTGCTAAACACCGCCATCAACATGAGGCATTGCTCCACTCCCTTTGATCTGCAGCCCCATGTTCGAGAGCTGCCGGGATGGAGGGAAGGCTCTGGTGCTCACGGTGGCAGGCACAGGGTCTGTGTTTCTCAGAAAGGCAAGGAAGTGGCAAAGCCTAGAAAGAGCCCCACATTCCAGCCCTGATCTCGCCGCTCTGGGTTCAGGGATGAGGTGAGAGGCTGCCATTCCCTGGGAGAGGGACAAACACTCCAGATCAGTGTAGGAATGAGTGAACAAACCTCCAGTGACATCCCTGGATATGGTAGGAAGAGAAAGGGTAGAAAGGCAAACTATCTCTCTTTTTATCACCCAGTCTCAAAGCCATACATTTTAACATGGTAGTCTTCATCTCCTGTTTATTTAAGAGCTCCCATAGGAGTCCCAGAAGAACATTGCCAGTGGTCCTTCAGGACATGTAACAAGAGAAAGAGCCTTCCTGGCTGCTCTCTTTTCTCTCCTCTGGACTGGGAGATATGACTCCCTAGAAGCCATCTGACAGAATGCTTGTTGTTATAATAAATAGCCAAGCTGCAATTATATTAAAAATCAATACAATAATGAATTATATTGTCCAGGACTATCAATTAGTAGGATACACTGGAGGGCAAGCACTTAGGCACAAGCTATTCTTTCAGCTATTACAGAAGCTGTAAAAAACTTAGCATTATCAAGGCACTTCGAGGGAGGTGATTCTGCCCCTCTGCTCCACACTCATGAGGCCCCATCCTGGAATGCTGCATCCAGCTCTGGGGCCTCCAACATAAGAATGAAATGGGCCTGTTGGAGTGAGTCCAGAGGAGGCCACTAAGTTGATCAGAGCCTCTCTCCTGTGAAGACAGGTTGAGAGAGTTGGGGCTGTTCAGCCTGGAGAAGAGAAGGCTCCAGAGAGACCTTGTATCAGCCTTCCAGTACTTAAAGGGGGTCTATGAGAGAGCTGGAGAGGGAGTTTTTACAAGGTCATGGAGTGATGGACAAGGGAGAATGGTTTCACACTGGAAGAGAGTAGATTTAGATTAGATATTAGGATGACATTTTTTACTGTGAGGGTGGTGAGGCACTGGCACAGGTTGCTCAGAGAAGTTGTGGATGGCCCATCCCTCAAAATGTTCAAGGCCAGATTGATTGGGGCTTTGAGCAACCTTGTCTAGTGGAAGGTGTCCCTGCCTTCCACTAGAACCAGGCTGGAACTAGATGATATTTAAAGTTCCTTCCAACATAAACCATTCTATAAATCTATAATTATTCAAAAAGATATAGGTGTTTTTAACTCCTCGATTTCACCAGTTATGCCAGCCCAGATGTACATATACTTATCCCTGATCCTTTAACACAAAAACATCATTGTATCATCAACAATCACCATTAAATCAGACTGCTAACACACTCCTGGCAAAAAATGAATACTGATTTACCAGCTGTAATTGTCTTGTGCTATAGGGTAGTCTCCAGATATTGAGTAGTATTCAGATACATTTAGCCATTGTATGAGAACATCCACAAACAGATAATCCCTGCCTAAGGAACCTGGCGGTAGTTAAATTGTCTTCTATAAAGAGAAACTAAATGAATTTAGGACTATTTACTTAACACACACGGTCAGTAAAATAGATTATGTCAAATTTAATTCATACAGAGTACTGACTGATATGGAGAATGTCAACCTACTTCTCTTATCTCGAAAAGGGTATTCAATGAAACTGAAAGGTCACTAAATAAACTTTATTTTTATGCAATATAAGATTAATTGATAGAAGTCACTACCACAGGCAGGAGTCGAGATTGTCAGAAGGCAGAACAATGCTGGACATTTAAATGAATAGCAAAATAACTCAAGTAATGGTTGCAGAAATAACTGGATCATAGCTGCTTCTCTGTAGTAGTACCTTTGCATGTGCAGCTATCACTAGGCTAAAATCTTCTGGTCTGATTTCGCAGTTCACTTTACACCGAAAATAAACAAACGAAAATATCCCCAGCCTGTAATTTCTATGGAATTAACCTGAAATGGGAAAATGTGTGGGTAGGAGAGTGTTTCTTACTCTGTTTTTTGTTTGTTTTGCCGATACTAAATTTACATTTGTCTTCTACCCTGACCTGATCTCTGTTGGGTTGAAGCAATTCTTCTTTTTAGGTCAGTGTAAACATGCTCTGAGTTAGCATTTCCTGCTAGGCTTCCTTTCCAACCTGGTATGCTTCCCTTGCTAGGATTTCCTTCAAATTGCTGCCTTCAGAGATCACCAGATGAGTCCCAGGTCATACCCCTGCCCTTCCAGTCTGAGTAAGAACATCAGTCTGGAAAGCTTGCTCTTCCCATTTAACGTCATGCTTTACCTTGTACTGTGACGTATGCTGCACTCTCCACGGACCCTTTGAAGTTGGTGGCTATACACTGGTAAAGTCCTTCATCCTCCTCTTTTACTCTTTCTATAAACAGCATTCTGCTTCCAGGCCCTAAAATTATTCCTGTGAAATGAAATATTTCGCAATGAGAGGGAGATAGGATATAAACAAAAACCAACCCTTCTGCTTCAACTGCTTCTCAAAAGAAATTTGAGCCACAGACTGCAAAGCACAATGTTATCTGCAGGAAAGCCAAATATACTTGGATGCTTTGTGAATCTTCTGGAAATCAGTGTTTACGAAGCATGTGTGTGAGTGAAAAAGCTCAGTCTAAGGGAATGATCTTGGAAGCACTTGGTACTGTCTATGTTGATTAGCACTGTGCTTAGGCTTTCTCCATGTGAGCTCTTCAGCACGTCTTTAGCTTTTGGAAAATGGCAAGTCTGATAACTGCACTTCCAGGCATAGGTCTGCCCCAGGAGCAGCTCAACCTGAGAGCACTTCCAAAAGCCAGCTCCATGCATCCAGACTGCCCGTGGGCAGCAGACTCACTCCAAATCTCACTTATCCCTGCGGCATGGAACAATGGGCCCCCTTGCCAAAGGACACCAGATAGTGCAAAGAGAGGTCCCATGAGACATACCCTAAAACATAAGAGTTACCAGAAGTTTTCAACATCTTGTTTATTCCAGATAGGTCAACCCAGAAGCCAGCCTGGGCAATACTCCAGCAGTGAGAAAGAGGCAGGGAGCAGATTTGGCCTCAGCATTGCATGTAAGGCACCTTGTAGCCAGGAAATGTGCAGTCAAGTACACACTTGTGTTTGGCTCCATCAGAACTACAGTCTCATCAAAATGTATTCCCACCATCTATTTCAGGCACCTAACTAAAGTGCTCTGACCTCCCCTCTGGAAACATCTTCCTGGCTCCTAATTGTGTGTCTTGCATCGCACCCAAGTTAGACATATAACATTCATTTTAGAAGACAGTGCTCTTAATGCAGTGGTCACTGTATTAATGCAGTGACATTAATGACAATGATGCGGCCACTGTAAATCTTCATAGAACCTGGCCATAGATTAAGTTTAATGCCTGGGCTGCAAGTCTGCACAGGCTTATAACTCACTTGGAGAAACTCTCAGAGATTGTTCCAGTTGCCTTTATTCATGCTATAATAATGTCCAATAATGCAGGAAAGAACCATAACCACAAACTTTCTACAACATTGTTATTGAAGACTACACTTATAATTCCAGTTCCTTTGGACCAAACCTTCTTGAACATTTTTGCTGGGCCTGTAACACTAGCTCACTGTGTGCTTCTGATATGAATGTGCATGAATTTCTGTAAGAAAGATTTTGCCTTTTCCTCCATCATTCACTTCCACCTAAAATCTCCAAGGAACACTCCCATGACTGTGGTGCCAGCAGAGCTGGACATTTAGGCTTAGCTGATCTTTGAAGCCACATTCCAGACACAGTGCTCAATATCTCTAAAAGTTTCCCTGACACTGCAACATGCCACCTGGGAAGCTGTTCCTTTCTATTGCATGAGACATGGATTCCTCTGTGGTTGGTAGATGCATTTGGCTTTGGACACCCCAGATACAGATTTGGTTTGGTGGATAGCTTATGACCCGAGAACAGAGCTAGAATGCCTCACCACAGACTCCCCTCTGGTACTCCTATACACATCATGAGAGCTTGGTTTCCTCTCGCATGGATATCTGCTGGCCAAGACACCTGATCCTTAGGTTCCCTCTATAGTAAATAGAGGAAAATATGTTTCTCTGGAGATGACTCTTCTAGGCTGGAAATAGAGAACTCTGTTTTTTCCACTGACTCCACAGAGACCTGTTTTTTCCTAGACCTTCAGCCTGGTTCAGGTTTTGGAATGAGATGAAATAACCTGGAGCATCCATGTTGCTGCCTTCCTGCCTGGACTGCCTCAGCCATACTCCTTCCTTACCTCTGAGTACCAACACCAAAGACTCTGCAAAAGGCTACCTAAGGCAGGTGAGTAAATAAGAAGTCTGTAAAAGGTAGGTGAGTATACAGAGCTCTCACCTGGTTCTTGCTGTATTTCCTCATGGTTTTTAAACCAGGATATCTGAGGCTCAGGGATGCCATGAACCTGGCACTCCAACATGGCAGAGTTACTGGCGTTCACTGTCTGATTCGTAAGCTGCCGCAGCAGAGCTGGTGCCTCTTGAGCTACAAGACAAAACAACACTTATTTTACATTCTTGTAACTCTGCAGGTTTAATTATCTTCCCTACCCACATTTTACTGACATTAGAGACTGCTATGGCTGTTGTACCAACTTTGTTGGCCACTGAATTTATTTACTGTTCCAGTTTGCTCAAGAGCACTTGGTGTCTACAGAGAACTACCATTACTCAGAAACAGAAGGTTATGACAACCAATGAAGACCCAATGACGACATTGTTTAAAAGTTACATGACCGACCACATTTGTTTTTATCAAAAGCAATGAGTTTCACTTTTTCATCATCAAAAGAAACAAACTGTGACACCAAAGATTTAAACAATTACCAGGACACCCTTGTAGCATAGCAGCTCTGTGTTGCTGACAGCACCATGAAGCTCTGTACACCACAAAACCCATGAATGAGACTTTTATAATTTACTTACTTTAGAGAGTACAGTTACACATGGTATTCAGTAAACTCACATAACCTAAAACCAGAAATCATAAGCACAAAAGCATTGTCCCAAGGTCTTCATAAATTTTTTCACTTTTGCATTTCACATATTTGGCTGAATGTAACAAGGCCCAGCCAAACCACACCACAGTATTTCAAAAACACACTATAAAAATCATGTTAAACTCATCCCTGCATGAAGCAAAACAATCTCATCATCATTTCAACCCTTTGCCACCTCTCCCCTCATTTGATAAGGAGCCGAAGGTTGTTCTGACAAAGGTCAAGGCATTAGCGACATTTATATACATTATAGGATAATATCTTTCATTCACATTTGCAACTCTCATATAATTATTTCTGGTGTCTTGACCAACTTAAAGCAGTGACGGAGAATCCAGGATGCTCCTGAGCAGTGTCACAGATGCAGATGCTCTGCAGATTCCCTCAAGGTCACCAATTATTTGCAACCTTTCCCTTCCAGGACATTGCCAGGATCAGCAGTTCCTAACATGCTAAAACATACATTCCAAATATGAAACAAAACAAAACAAAGAAGAAACAAACTCTTTGCAAATATTTTCTTTTAAATTGCAATAGATACCAATACATCGGGTTCAATATCAGCTGAATTTCTGATATTCTCTGTTAGGAAGATTATTCTCTATCCTTTCAGGAAAACCAACCATCAGACACTTCCACCTCCATAATCATTCTGTTACCAGCTGTAAATGAAAACTCTCTAGAAATATTAAGCACCTATGTACCACCAGCTTATGCAGTGTGCATGAGTCCTGTAGTACTAAAACCACTTTTAAAGTAGGCTATCTTTGCTATGCTCTTACCCCTTGAAATTCATTCCAACATAGTCATGACCAGTTTGTGCTTTTCCATGCTGCAAGTCAGTAATTTCCACAGATAATGCTATTGTTTGTTTACAGCATAGTAGGCAGTTTGTTCTCTCTTCCCAAACAGTACTATTTAAGAGAGAGACTGTAAAATAAGTACTTCATCACATAGCACACACAATGACATAGCCAAATATATTTGCCATCAAGCCAAGAAGACTGCCCTGTTCTCACCGATACCTTGCCTTGATTTTTGCACAGGTCTCATTTTTCATAACACTGTCTATGAACAGGTGCCATCTGATGAATGTCCATGTATGTATGCTGTGAAGAACTCCACACTTCACATTTTTTATCAGTCCCTGATAAACACCCCAGAGCAGACATCCAAAATGAAGGCAGACAAGATGACACAACAAAGGCAAACCACACGTTCTGTGAGTTATTTGTGATTAATTTTAATTTGTTTATAGCCATACACTAAAGATGGGTTTTCATATTGCGAAAAACTTTTTTTGTTTAAAGCTTAAGTCACCATTCACATACTTTCAATAATTTCTCTGCTGCCACCAGCTGATTTTTCAAGGACTTGGTCAACCTGAGGATTATTCTCTTTTGCAAACCACCTGTTTTCTCCCATTCATTTTTGCAGTGAAGCCAAGGGCGGGGGGCAGTTTCCAATGTCCCGCTCTTCTCACTCCAAAGCTGAGGGGCTACCCTGGCCACCAGCATGCACAGTGTGGGGCTCAGTGCCCAGGGCAGCCCCCTGGACTTGCCCTCAGCCCTTCTGCCTGCCTGAAAATGTTGCCTTGCTGGGCCAAACTCTGCTCTCAGTTACCCCAAGGAACTTCATTGCAGGCAGAGTTTGGCCCAGAGGAGTGACAGGCAGTCACAGAGAGGAGAAGGTGACACTGGCATCAGAGTACTTGGCTGACCTGGGGTGGCAAAGAGGGAAAATTTGCATTTCCAAAAGCAAACAAGGGAAAAACATTACAACTTGTTAATTTTGGGGGTTACATTAGCATTCCATTCATTTTTGCCCTTTGTTATGATTGTGTTGTCTGTTCACTTATTTTTATTAATCAGTAGAAAAATATAAATACAAGCTTTATTTTTAACACTTAAAAAAAGAAGAAGAAACATAATTCACACCTTTCTCCCTAAATAATATATTACACAACAGAAGGCAGAGAAACTCTTCAAATCCACAAGATTCTCCAGTCATCTGAGGACATTAAAAGTGACATCAGTAGTTTTGATCTGGCCACCAAGAACTGCTTTCCTCAAACATTTCCAGTGAGCTTTCTTTGTGCCTCCCAACACAGACAGCCACATTGGGATGTTATGACATCCTTGCACAGCGTGGCCCTCTGAGTGCTGGCTGAGACCAGGCTGGTGGGACATCCACCCAGCAGTGATACACATCATTGTGATTCACAACAACTTCACAGAACAGTCTAATTGCCACATCTCCTTTTCTGACCCAAACTTATATTGCCTGGCAACTGGCTTCTACAAGTCATTGTGCTCTGGGCTCCCAAGGACATGGAAACTCATAACATCCTGTCATCACTGCCCACCTTGCCATCAAATGTCTTCCCACAAAATACTCTAGTAAAAAGGGTGATTCTGTATGGAAATTCTTCTGAAGACTTGCAAATGCTAAAGAGTGCACTTGCCCCATTTTTAAGCAGTCACCAATGACTTTGCTTGCTTTTTAGGCACATTTTAGGAAAAAGAGCCTGATCCCTTTGCATGAACACATTGTTTCTGGAAGCCATCGCACTAATAATGAACAAAAGAACTACTGTATACAAGCAGGCTATAGGTGACATTTCAAGATATAAATGATTATTCTTTTCTTTACTCTGACAACTTCCAGGTTATCAATTGTTTTCTAAGCATTTTAGGCTCCATGAAACTGGTATTATGGGGAAATGCTATTGTTTACCCTTTCACACTTGACAAAAGCAATTCCCATGTGAAAGGCAAGTTTAGCCGTGGGACACAGTCTCGATACCTAAAGGAGGAAATAGTCTGGTGAGTTCCCAAGCGCAAGAAACTGTCATGTTGTCACCCTTTATTTTAAAAGCACAGCCACTTTGTTCCCTTGCTGCAGCTATTTTGATCACTACGGTCTGTTTTGTTATGGCTTATGTAAATGCTATATAAATGATCGATCATAAATGTAATCAAAAATAATAAAAGCTATGTATTGTAAAAAAATAAAGTTATCAGATCTATTAAAAATAGTAACTTCTTCCTTATACAGAATTTATAATACACAGAAACATCTCATAGCAAAATCATGACAAAGGAAAAAAAAAGGGGGGAAATGCTCACAAGGAATTCTTAGGTTGCCCTTAATTCTCCTTCAGCAGTTTGGCTGGTTCTTAATCCCCATAATAAATCCAATTGTCATTTGCATACCAAAAGCAATGAATATTTTCAATGGCTTCAATTCTGAATTTGTATTTTAAGCACTGTATTAACTCACTGTGCCGGCTGAAATCTTGTCAGTTGTGTTAGTGTAACATTCCTCATTTTATAAAATAATTACAACATACACATTCCTGAATCTTCAGGCCGGGAGTGACACTCATACTTTTATCAGTAGCTTTTTACATTAGTGCAGAACTGACTTTAAAAATTGACCAACACAGCAAATGGAAGTCTACCTGGATTTATTTGGAGAAACATGGTTCATGTCTGTCAGTTTTAAAATCATCATTATTATAAATGATATGATAGCTCTGTGCATTATATCAACATTTTTATTTCTTCCCTGCATACTTCTTTTAGAAGATACTTTTTAAGATTAATGTACTTTAGTGTAGAAAATAATCTCAAATAAATAAGCATTAGAACTTGCTCAGCAGGTAATATTTATAAGTCCATCAAGATCAGATTAAAATAAAAATTATAGTCCAGTCAATCTCAAACTGAATTGTGCTCATTCTGCACATTCAAGTTAGCTTATTAAATGTCCATTGTTGACTGAAAACAGCAGTTTTTAAAGTTTATCAGTTTATTCAGCTTTGACACATTTGATGAGGCCGATATCAAAGTGGAAGAAAAGATTGATCCAAAGTTTTCCTTATCGCTCAGTAGGAGACAGCAAGAGAAAAATTAACGACATGTAAAATGTAGCACAGGGGATCTTCCAAACCCCAGCTTCCACGTGCCTTGTCAAAGCAGAAAACACCCGTCTGAACTCAACTGGAAGCTCACGTGTTATGAGTTTGTTTGCTATTCCTCCTATATTCAACCCATGGGGGAACGAGCACCGCCTCAGGGCTTGAAAGGTAGCAACAGTAACAAAAAATCAAGATGATATGAGACACCTCTTACTGTTTAATGAGTCCTTTAATGTTTTACATTGCTTTGTGTTGTACAATCATTCCTTGTGCTTTTATATTTGAGGATCCGAGAGTAAACAGCCTTTTTGTTGCAGTGCTCACCTCTGATTGTAACATCTTTCTTTTGAAGCACTTCTTTCCCCGTGTATATGTTCCTTGCTCGACAGGCATAGGTGCCAGAGTGTGCCAGGGAAACATTTTTGATGGTCAGAGTGAGGGTGATGGAGTACTCCTTGTTATGAGACTTTTTTGCTTTCGTTTGATTGTTGACTGTCCTCGGTAAAATCCAAGCAATGTCTTTGTACAGGAATTTGTTGGCCGAACAGGACAATACCAAATTCTCTCCTTCAATGGGCATTTTTTCCAAACTAATATGGAATCCACTTGGTACATCTGTCAAAAATCAAGAACACTTTTTATTTTATATGAAATGAATGAGCCAAAATTAACATGGCATATATTTTCCCCTTTATCAGGAAGTCTTTGAACTAATCAATGCTGTTGTCTTCCTGCTCAAGTCTGTAATCTTTCCTTTCATATGCTAGGCTTCAGCTATTCTTATAATTTGTCTTGGAGCTATGAGACACTTGGGTTCAGACACCAGTTGGTGTAAACTGAAGTTGCTCTTGGAAGTAATGAGTTTGTATAAATTCTATGCCAAGTTAAGACAGACTGGGGCAAGGTACCAAAAGTAGAACTATTTAAAGACAGCACAGTGAAAAATGAAATGAAAAAGGAGGAAGATTCTGATCACAGTTACAGCTTGTGAACTGCATGAGAGAAATATCAAGAAGACAGTACAAAAACACTGCATCTCATCATGCTTGGTTATATTGTTCTCTTGTTATTCATAAGTATCCAGATAAGGTATGTATATTTCTGAAAAATGCTTCAAGTCCTGAGAAATTAATGAATCTGCAATTGCATGACTTAGACTTCCCGTGGAATGGAGGTATTTGCCCTCCATGCATTTAAAGCATGTCAGCCACCCAAGTGGAAATCAGAAACAATACCCTCTAGCCTGGGTGACCAGCTGTGGTGTGGGCAGCACTAGGATGAAGATCACTTTGTTTAGGTGGCTTGGCAAAAGATATAGGTGAAAAATATTTCCACCTGAGAGAAATCAAGGATCATTACACTAACTATTTACTAAGTGTAAATATGACTTAAGTTTTCACTTCACAGCAGATAGTTCAGGCAGGAATAACTTAGCCGACAATGTCAAAAATCATACTTGAAAAAGCCATGTTTGCATTTCATTGTAACATTACTTGCAGCTTCCTCCACCTGGGGAGTGGCACAGAGACGCAGCAGTGTCAGCTGCCTCCCAGCTGCTCCACCTGAGGCTCATCCCTCCAGTGAGGGAGTTACAACACTGACTTCAGTGAAAGTAGAAGCAAGACCTGAGAGAAAGCACTTCCAAGTTTTACTCCTAGAATGCAACCTCTCTTGGCTTATTTGTAGCCAATATTCTGATAAAGTCATTTCCTTCTTCTCGGTCAAGTGACATCGACTTTGGCCATTTTCAATTGTTCTTTCACTATTAATTGCTACAGCACTTGGCTGTGAACCTGACTCAAAATCATAAGAAGGGTTTCTTCTTTCATAACAGAGAATTATGCCTTCTCCCCTTGTTTCTTAGAGCATGAACAGCTCAATGCTGTGTTTTATTCAGCTCCATTCTTACCAATGTCACTTCAGGTTTAATGTCACTTCAGCAGGGACGTGTAAAAAGTAGATCTCAAGTGACTAACATCCCACATATTCTTTCATTAACCTCTTTCCTTGATTGACTAATCTATCAGAAAGCTTCTCCCTAAATCCCTACATCACAAATTGAGCTGCCTTGCCTCCTAGGGGGACCATGAACATAATTTTCTCACTGCTGCCTTTTAAAGTTCTGCCAATTGAAAGTCTGGCACCAGTTGGGCCCCTTAATATCTTATTTTCCACACTTAACCTTAGTGTTAAACACAGGGTAAATGAGCTCCTCCAAGTCCTGGATTGAAATGTCCTCTGACTGTAGATGTTTTGCAGGGAGAGGCCTAACTTCTGCTGGTTGAACTCACTCGTTGTGCCCTTGCAGTGGGAGCAAAGTGTGTGGCTGCCATCAACTGTAGTTCAGGTATGTAGCCTGAAGATCAACCTAACGGAGGCAGCAACACTAAAATATTAGATTGGGTATTAAAGTCTGAGGGCTGACTTGTTCCACTTACATTTCATTGAAAGCCCCTTTTTTTTTTCTCTCTCTCCAGCAAAGTGATAAGAAAAACTTTAAATATCATTAACTCATCTATGAGTGACTATCATCAGGATCCTTTGTGACATGTAAAAGCACAGGGTGCCAGATTCTAATTTCAGTTAAGAACATGTTGACTGGAAGTGCTACTATGATGAAACGTTTCCACACATGAGGTACATCATATTTAGCCTTAGCTGCCAAAATGTAGACAGCTACTTGAATACGGTTGCTTTCTGCATGGGCAGAAGTTTACAGCCTATGGACTGACATAGGTTCCTCCAGAGGGCAATGCAAACCATCACCTTAAGATGAGTCAAATTGCAGAGATCCTGGTCCCTCATGCTTAATTATGAAGACATCCTACATGACCAGCTTAGGCTTAGATACCTAACTTTAAGACAAGTTAGATGAAGTGAATCCTATACTTGATTGTGTTAAAAGCATTCAGTTCAGACACACTTAAAACTAATCAACGGGCCAAAGTTTTGAAAGTGGTTAAGTATTTGGAAGAAGGAAATTGCTGCATCTTACTCACAGTACATCTCAAATTATTCTGATGTGTGTTGGGAAAGCCAGGGCAGTCATTAGAATTACTGGTAATTTTTGCTTTTGCAGATGCCAGTACTCAGTAAAAGCTAGGAAGAGCCAAGCAAAACTCTTAAGATGAAACTAAAGATCCCTGGGGACTGAGGCAAATGAACTATTTTTAACCTAAAAGGATAGCATGCCAACAGAATAATATAGTTGCAACTACTTTCATGTTATCAGGTCTGGAGCTCTTCCTCAGTGTGTCTTCTGTGAAGAACGACTATTTTCTGAATAAATCCAGGGACAAAAGCAAAATGGACAGGATTCAAAGAGAATCATTTGTTTAAAAGCTATGAGCTCCCTAATATATGACACCTCTCACCAATAGTTACAGGCTCGGGATAGCTAAATAATGTGGCTGGGAATAATGTAAAAGGGCTTTATTTACTTTAGTGATTTGAAGCTTCCTGTGGAAATAGCTCCCAGGTTTCCTGATGGAAGATTTTGTTTATCTTTGCCAAGCACCATCAGGAATCTCAAAATAAAATGCGCTTAGTGACATTGGGAAACCAGGGAGATAAGGCAGAGCTGTTCCTGTTTCACCCTCTGTAATTGCAAACACACCCATGGGCCTGCTGTGTGCCAGCAAAACAGCCCAGAATGTAGGGAACGGGGCAGGCAGGAGGAAAGGGGGCTACCACAATTAAATTTGGTATAGAGGTGTTGTTACAGAGACTGTTTCCGTATCAACAAGCAAGAGGGCTTTCAGAAATCACCTTTCTACATTGCTTTTATATAAGGTTCACAGCTACTTTTGAGTCTTGAACAAAAAAATGTGCATTTAGAAGTCAGTGACAACACCCCAAAAATGCCCTTCATCTGACAGAAGCCATAGGAAAGCTACTCCAAAGCCCATGGACTTCATGTCACACACCCTTAGGCAGAGTGTATAAAATTATATCACTCTCAAACCTCCCAGAAACAGATAGGCAAGTTGCACTTCAAGCCCAGAAATAATGAGATTTACAGTAACTTAAGAAAGGGCTCGTTCTTCCCAGGTTCTCTCTGCTAGAACTTATTTCCTCATGTTTACCTTTCCCTGAAGGGGTGGAACAAGTCAAGTCCAAACTATGGCTGTTGGGACAGTTTCTGCCTTTCCACCACCTTCCTAATGGTTTCTGCCTACAGAAAAGAGACTCCTCTTTACAGCTGCTTCACTGAAGTACGTGAACTTTCTCACCCCCAGGACAAGGCCTGAATGAGATTGCCTCCAAGGAAAGGGATTCTTCCTGTTTAGGACAGGCTTTGTCTCCATCTGCTCTTTGGAGTCATTTCTGGCTTACCCCTTTTACAGAGGGCAGCAGCTCCTTTTCCTACAAGGGATCATACTCTCCTGCTTAGACACTTCTCTTACTTTTAGACACTTTTGTGTGGTTCAGGCTGACTTCATACGGCGCCAGCAGACTCAACAACATAAGATAAAGTAGCCCCAAGCTGTCACACAAGACCTGAAGTATTGGTTTTGGACTCATCAGAAGGAAATACTTTGCAGTGTCCTGTTCACATCCATCAGCATTTAAGGATCTCAATTTTTTTACTCCTCCAGTGTGTGTTTTAGCAAATGCTGGACAGCCATGGCAGTTTGATCTCAGCCTGATGGAGGAAAATTATGGTTACACCACACAGGCCCAACTGGTGCACTGTGTGTGCAAAGCAAGAAAGAGCCTAACTGGATTTTTGTAAAGACAAAACAGCAGTATTGTTTAAACTGCCTTCAATCAATGCAAGTGAGTGGCAGTGGATGATCAGTTCCAGGAACTCAATTAACAAATGCGTTTCAGCTTTACCATCCTATAAAGAATGTTTGCCACCACTCGAGGTATTAAGAATTTCCAAGCCATAATAAAGGTGCCACTCCTCTCTCTGAAGACCAGCCAATATAAGGCTCTTTGAAGGAAAGTCACAATGTTCTGCATGTTCTCATGCAAGCTTTGGTATCAAGAAGAAGGATTTCCTTCTATCTTTGGTTAAGATCTAAGAATGTGAGATCTGAGTAAGGAAACTAATGCCTTCATGTCACTGCACTAAAATACCTGAAACCACCATCAAAACTTTGACCAGGAGATTTAGGTACAGCAAATGGGACCTATCAAAATACAGCTTCATTTGGTTTTGGGATCTTCTGGCATTTTGAAAACTGAGGAGTAAGAGTTAGAGAAGGCCAAATTCAGCATCTTGCACATCAAAGGAGCAACTGTCTCAGTGACTGCTCGAAGTTCCATGTGAAGCCCACACAGAAAGATGAGAATACAACACCATTGGCATGTTAATTTACGGAGACCTATGTGTCATTGTTCAGCTTTCTGTCCAAACAAACACAATGTATGGACAGGGACAAAAGCAAAGCTGTGACTTTAGAGCAGGCACAACAGTCATCTTCAAGGTGGCAAATGTTTTTGCTACATCCATTAATAGAACATGGAGACATTTATTGTTTCTGTACTTTTAACAAACAACCTGCCTATGTGTCACTTATCTGTTCATATTTCTCATGCTTGTTACCAAATTTCTATATTTACAGATAACTGGCACGTTCTAAATGTGAAATTTATTATGATATGGAGCTTTAACAGCTGTAGACACCCACAAACAAGGTTTGCCAAGAGAAACTGTGCCAGCAGCATAACAGTGGATACTACAAAAAGAAATGATGAGTGCTCATAGTGGGTGACACTGTTTCAGGTCACTAAGGTGCTCATCTACTGGCTTAACAGGGAGTTATGATGCCTTCTGGGAGCTAAGGTCTGAGAAGGTGCCACAACTTAACAAGAGCACAGACTACTGTTCATTGCTACTACTTCATGTGGGCATGGGCAAGCCAGAATCTGGACAGATTCAAGGAAGACTATAAATTCCTGGAGGTGACAGCAAAAAGTATTGGTGCTCAAGTTATCTTTTCTTACATTTTACCAGTTAGAGGAAAGTGCTCTCCTGGAAGCACAAAACCAGTTTATCTAGATCAACAGAACTACCCAGCTGGAAAGTAGATCTGTGCAAAAGGACCTGGAGATCCCTGTGGACAACAAGCTCAGCCTGAGCGAACAGGGTGCTGCTGTGCCAAAACAGAAAGTCAACAGGATGCTGGGCTGCATCAGCAAGGGCATCAATAGCAGAGATAAAGAAGTCATTATCCACTCTACACAGCACTTGTCAGGCCACACCCAGAATACTGTATTCAGTTTTGGTCCCCTCTATACAACAAAGATGTGGACAGTCCAGAGAGGGTCTAGAGGTGCCACAAAGATGAACAAAGGACTGGGAAGGCTGCCATATGAGCAGAGGCTGAGAGAACTGTGTTTGTTCAGCCCTGAGAAAAGAAGGCTTAGGGTAGACCTTATGTCCCTGTTCCAGTGTTTAAAGGCTAGCTACAAAGAAGCTGGAGCTTCCATTTTACAAGGAGAAACATGGAAAAGATGAGGCTTAATGGATTCGAGTTACTCCTGGGGAGATTCTGATTGGACATAAGCAGAAATTTTTCACAATGAGAACAATCAGCCATTGGAATAATCTCCCCAGGGAAGTGGTGGATTCTATAATTTTGGACACTTTAGGATTCATCTGGACAGGGTGCTGAAACATCTTGTCTAGGCTGTGCTTTTGCCAAGAAAGGTTGGATCAGATGATCCTTGAGGTCCCTTCCAACTCGGTAATCTATGATTCCATTACAACTAGTCAGAATATTTAAAAAATGCAAATGTTGGTACACAAAATTCGGAGGGACGGGAGTGACACAGACATTTTTCAGAGTAGCTTTCTTTTCTTTTTTTTCCTAACCAAATCTAATGAGTGTGTGTCTACTCTTTTTTGATATCTCTCAGAACGGAAATAGAATGAGTTTCATTAAAATCACTCATCAGAATGATAGCCAAGAGAATGACAACAAAAAGTAGAAGAGAAAGCAAAAATAAAAAGGTATATATTAAAATTTTCTCTTTCAGCTTCAAGAGTATGATTTTGGTATTAAAGTATCTAAATATTTTAACTTTTTTACCTTTTCTCATCTTTGCAAATGCATTCTTTAATGATCTATCCTGAAAACTGCCAACAGCCTAAGTGCTGTATGAACCACTGCTTTATAAACAAACCAAAAAAATTCTTTTGACAGAAAACAAATCCTTTGTAACGGCATGTGAGACTTTATGCTGCTAAATCATGCAGTAGTTATTCCTCAAAACTCAGTGTGGGTTTTATTCAGTAATTCCTTAAGTAAAACATTTAATAACTTGTTTGTGAAACTGAAAACATCTAAACACATTTTGAAATGGAAAAATACCTGAAAGGATACTCATACGTGCAGCTAACATGATGAGAATTCTGTGCCATGTCTCAAATGACATCCAAGGTTGTCTTTCTTAGAAGAGGAAACAAAACGCTGTGGTCTGTACCCTGACACTTTTCTAACTACAAGTTGCCATAGACCCTGAGGTCTGTGAGAAGGCACCCCAAACATCCCTCCTCTAGCACCATGCTGCCTGCAGGCACTGGCATTGTTCTAGTCATTATGTTGTGAGATGCCCTGGTTGACAACAGGATGAGGCTGTAGACACTGTCAATGTCACACATGAAACTGGCTTACTGGTGTACAAAAATACAGCAGAATTTCACACATGGAATGACTGCAGAGATAAACTGAAATGGGGAGTTATAGATTGCTATATTTGTGATCAATTTGTGTCATGCTGGATGGAGGAATGGGTCATTCACCAGTTTGGAGTCCTTCTTAGAAATCCAGACCAGCAGCTGTGAAAAATCCTACCAGCATCAGCCAAAAGCATGCTGTGAGTTTACAAGTGCATACATTACAACAATTCTCAAACTGTGGTATATCAAAAAGCCACAACAATTATAACCCCAGGACCAGGAAACATTTTAGGCTCTAGAAGCAACTAGATCTTACCTGTTACAATAAAGCTGACATTTCTTTCAGATTTTCCCACTTTATTGGATGCCACACAGCTGTAGATTCCAGAAGATTTGGCTTCAGCTACAACAAGAGTGCTAGCGGTCTGCAAAAGAAAGATGAGGTTTAGTTCTCATTGGCTCAGGAAGTCAGTTAAAGATTCCCTTCTCTTTTTCCTAAGTCACCATTGGCAGTCTCACAATCCTGTATTTCCATTTGTTCAGTGATGGGCACCTCTGGGGCTATTTAAAGGAGTTGTCATCATATGCAGTTTTGGAAAGGGTAGAAGAACAACAGGAAACAAGCTCCTCAGGCGACCCTTGTACTATCAGAGACATCATAACCAAAAATCATTGAATGTGTCTTTCAGATTGATTTATCTCTCACTGCTGATGTAATGGCATGCTACAAAACATGAAGCATGACACAATGTGGTTCAGCCAAGGAGATAAGCAGCCTGCAGGAGAGCCAGACTGCAAAGCAAATAGGTGAGAAATGCCTCAGGAACTTGGATAATGCTGCGGAAAAAAAGTAGCTCCATTTCGCACTAAATGCATTTGATTTCTTTCATTTTCCCACATACATATCAGGTGAATAAGGACAGGGGAAAACGGATGTTTACCCATCCTCTTTTGCACTATTTCCTCTTCTTGGACTTAATACTTCTATTGTTAAATAGTAATAGATCAATTGTATCTATGGTATATTCTATCACCATCTTAAGAGATCCAGTACACTAAATATTTTCTCAGAGTGACCTGACTTGCAAGATAAGACCAGGGACTAGCAACACCTAGTGTGCCTTTAGCAAATAAAAACCTAGAAAATAGAAAAAACTGAGGTGTCATTCTGTAATGGAGCTGAGACACGGGGCATGAACATGGAGCTCATCAGTGTAACATGCTCTCAATTACAACTTGGCAGCTTAATTTTCTGTCTTTCTGTCTCTGTTTTACTTCTCCTGTAAAACACGCTTTGACTGAACTTACAGGCAAAGCTGGGACAGTGATGAAAGGAAATTATGCGGCTGCAGAATCCTGCTGTTTGGAATTATTTGGCTTTTCCAAAAACCTTAAAAATTATTTTTGTGCAATTAACACATTCTTTTAAGTCTGCCTGATTGCTCGAGTTCAGAGGCAAGCACAAGAGAGCGAGTCCGTGATAAATAAGGACCAGTTACCTACATTTCTACATAAACACTGACTGAATATTTGCACTGCTTCTGTCTCCTACT